TCGAGCCAGATTTGTGTTTAGGCATAATAAACGTTGTTTTCCACACATCAGGGTAAGTTTGGGTTTCTAAGGACATTGTGAATATTTTAAGTAGTAGTAGGGGAATGTCAGGGCCACCATATTTATAAAAATAGGATGATATGCCGTCAGTACCGAAACCTTTTGAGCATTTTAGGGTTCTTATAGTTTGTTTAATGTTAGTATAGTTAAATTCAACAGTACTAATTAAGTTTGGTGTGTGTGGAGATGGAGTTTGTGCCACATTAGTAGCAGAGTGTATATTGAGTAACTGGACTGTGGGCTTAAGGTAGTTACCTGCAAAAGCTGAGTTAAATAATTCACACATGTCTGCGGAATTAGTACATAGCCTACCTTTGTCTATGAGGAGGGAAATGCTGTGATTTTTGCGATTCATTCGCTTCTTTAAGATTTCCGTGAGTGCATACACTCTAGCAGGACTGGCTACTGCGATGCGTTCTTCGTTTCTCATACGGAAATTTCGAGCTTGTGAGATGGAACTAAGGGTGTTGAGTATTAAACCTAGTGTGCCAAAGTCGTGGTGTCTGAAGTAACTTGTTGAGAGTTTCTTCAGTTTCATACGATCCTTTGGTTTTATGAATGACTTCCTATGTGGGGAAAGCTCAAGTGTTTGGAGTGGAATGACAGCATCTAAGCATGTGTTAGAGTTATGGTAGAAGACGCTCAGAGCTCGCGAGAGGTCATCAGTAGTGAAGTACTCTCTCCATTCTGAGGATCTTAACATTGATTTCACCAAAGTCCAGTCTGCCTTACTGTAGTTCCTGCATGTTAATTGTTGAAAAGTAGGGGTACGGGCTGCATTGCTACTTGATGGAAGTGGCAGTGCACACAGCACTGTTTTGTGGTCACACCCTGGAAACTCAGAACCTATTAGGGTAGAAAGGGGACTTATATTGTGGCAGAAGATTAAGTCAAGTACGTTATTGCCTCTTGTAGGGGTGGTGACAGTTTGTTTCCAGACAAATATATCCAGTATGCCTAAGAACTCATCAAATTTAGTCGATCCTGTGGGTATTTCCCAGTTGATTTCTGGTAAGTTGAAGTCTCCACATAGGATCTTATGATACTATTGTAAGGTGGATAATTGCTCCAGAGTATTAATGAGTTAGGTCTCGTAATTGCTAAAGGTACCAGGTGTTCTGTAGGTGCATCCAATTAATACCATTGCGTTATTTAAGTGTAAGTTAACCCATAGAGTCTCAGGCATGTTAAGTGTACTACTATTTTAGCTGTGATACAGTAAGTGCATTCAGAAAGTACATGCGACAACCCCCTCCCTTACCACCTTCCCTGTCACACCGAAAGTGTGTGTAGTTATCTAAGCTTATCTCTTCATCAAGTATGTTCGAATTACACCAAGATTCAGTGATGACAATTATAGGGGGTTTCTATATTACTGTGAGTGCTCTGAGCATTGGCAGTTTATTTAGAACAGATCTAGCATTTATGAGGATCAAGTAAAGATGAGATTTGAAGTAGCATTTGAAGTATTTAAGTTCGTTAATCAGCCCCGAGTATGGTTCAGCACCCAGTAGTACTGTTTGGCATGACGACCCTATGTTAATAGGAGTTTCGACATCACGCTCATTTATGTCTATCGGGTTGGTGTGTGCTGTTTTCGGTGAAGAATTAAGCGTTGGAGTACTGGATTTGCTATAGGCTAAGGCATTTTTTATTTTTAGTTAAACCAGAGCTATGGGTAGGGATCTATATTTGACCTAAACTTGTGCATGTATCAAGTGTGCTTAATGGATGCGGGTGAACTAGACTGTTCCTATATTCATGCAAAGAGGGAGCCAGCATTAACGGTTTAGGAGTGTTAACATCCCTACCAGTTGTTTTTTTAACGCTGACAGGGACGCAGGGGATAAAAAATGATTAGGACCTTGTAGAGACCATGGTTTATTATTCGACCTATTGTTAGGTACTAGTTGTGTCCTTGTATGGGTTTCGTGTGTACTGCTTTGTGGGTTAGTTCCCAGCAGACTTGTACCATATATCCGATCAAAATTTATTTGTGTGCCATACTGTGGATACCCTGAGTTGTTGGTGGTTGAGTTCTGACTATTGCCACTTGTACTATTGAGGGAGGCATTGTTGTGGCATTGGTTATCAGTGTGGGCCATGGTGCTATTTCGCACGTTTTGGGTGCCAATACTATTGACCGTGGGAGATGTGGGCTTATTTATACTGCCATTTTTGTTGTTGGCATGATTTGGGGTCATATTCTCCTTTTTTTTACCAATGGACTTATGGACAGGAGAGGACAGGGCCGACTTTCGGGGGATTTTTGACTTTTTTCCGGGATTATTTGGTGACATGTCTATATCTACGGTGGTAGGCGGTATAGTTTTATTGGCTATTTGATTACAATTTAGTAGCCTTGCGGTTGGTGTCTCTCTCTGAGAGGATAATTCTGTGTGGTTTGAGAGGGGTGGTGCGGTGGATTCTACGGTATCTCTCATAAGGTTGGGTATAATTGCTGCTTGCAATGTCCTATTGTTTATTCCACAATTAGACTCAGTGAGATGATTGTATACGCGCCTTTCTATGACTGCCTTTTCCACTGCAACCTTTATTAGTTTGTAATTTCTGACTTGCGATAGGGTGTGTTGGGAGTGGATGAATTTTCTGGCCTCAGCCGGTGTTTCGAACTGAAAACGAATAGGACAACACTTTTCATGTTGACTCTTCTTCAGCCTGTAGCACTTAGTCTTGGAGCTGGTCATTTTCGCCTCACTAAGTAGGATGCACTGTACCCTTTTTAGTGCCTCATTGTCCGGAACGTTGTAGACAATAGCATTTAGTTTAGCATCGAGTCGTTTTGTTACTTCTGTAGTAACAAAGTTAATTAGGTTATCCACCTTAGATACCGATTCCGTGTCAAGTTTGTTAAGGTCTACAGTTCTCATGAGGATAGTTAAAGGTGTCAGTTCACAGACCTGCGATCTGATATCGCTGATCTGATCCGATAATTTGGATATTTTGGTATTGGTATCAGAAATTCCAGGATCTACTGACTTATTGTTTTTTAAGTCCCTTAACTCGGCCTTAAGTTCTCCTATAGACAACTTTAGAAGTTCTATTTCAGAAGATAGTTCTGAAACAGAGCTTGAAGGCTGGAGCTTTTCGATAAGTACACAAGGTGACGGGAGGGTTTCTATATCAGCAGAGGGTACTGAATTTTTGGGAGTAGTGCTAATACTAGCTGTCAGTGCAGTTTTATCCTCAGTTTCAGCTCGACACTTGCGACATACAAGTGGGTTATGTGGCTCACTATAACCACTTGTAGGGAGTGTGTTGCTTGATGTAGCAATCAACGACTTAAAATTAGTCATCAGTTCTACAGGGGATTGAGTTCGTTGCTTTTTACTTTGGTTAGCCATAACTATTTGATATGGGAGTTAATAGTTATAGGTATGGAGGTAGTAGAGTACTTGTGTAAGTATTACAACAAGATAAATTTTATGTAACGAATCACGCAAAAATGTAACGCAAACGTTGGACGTACCGCTACATCCGAGACATAAAACTAATGTGAAGTTTAACGAGCGAAAATTTGAGGGAAAATAAATAGCGACAACATGAGTTGAATAGATACGTGAGATTACACAGAGTGAATGCCTCTGTGCCATAAACAAAGACTTGCAGACACATATCTAGTAGTTCTTCTAGCTGACTGTCAACGATTTTATGAACCAATAGCAGTTTTTCATTCGACCGACCCTAACACATTTTGAACCTTAACATGTGCTGGCTAACATTATCCCTCGAGGAAGGCGATGGCTTGGTATGTAATCACGCGTTATAGCCATCTCAACCTATTCAGCTTCCCAACCTTGAAGACTAACTTACCCTCCTCACCTAACACTTTATGCGTAACCTCAAGAGCAATCGCCATATTATGCTGCTTTAATCATGAGATCGAACACAGACACCTATAATCAAACACCGGTATTCTTTTCATATTTTCAAGTGTCAGGGTTTACTTGTCATAGTCTAGGTGTACAGTATCATCAGTAAACTGTAAGTTGATGATGATAAGTCTCTAAAGTCATTTATAGACTCTCCTACTGATATATGTGTGATTGGATTGAAATGATATAAGAATGACAGTTTAAGAATTTAGTCTTGTGTTACATCCCAATTGGAAATGTGTTTTCTCGGATAATTCGCAAACAGTAATCACTGAATAGAAAACATTCTGTAGAATTTATGAAACTCATTAACTGACGCAGTGCTTTTGCAGGCATTATAGTGTTTCCTCAATAAAGCGAGATTTGTATATTTCGGCTGCATAAAACGAGTAAGTGGTATCCTGGCAATACCAATGACTACAACAAGTATTGGAATCATGCACCACAACTTTTACTTTACTGAATACTCCAGTAGATTTGAAATATATACTTGAAAAATATCAAATTTATACAGGAAGTCCGTAAGATTTACTAAACTAAAAGCACCTTCGGTTTACATAGGAGATCTCCATGCCGAATTTATTCCTCCGAGGGCCTACACAGATTACAACTTCAATTAAATAACATTGACGTTGGAGAAATCCCATTCTTAATTACTAAACTTAATGATAATGTTTTTATTCTAGAGACAGGAGCATTCCTAATGTTTCACTTTATGTAAATGCAGTTACATACAGTTGCACTAAGAACTCAATGCAACTCGGTGCACAATAGTGTGTACACAAATAAACTGAAAAATAACGTCCTCCTTACCTTCTGAACAACTTTTCTTTATTACAGGATAATAACTTTCTTTCACGTATGAGCCTGAGATATGTCTATGGAATCACAATATTATATCAGTTATATCTCGCCCCGAAACCAAGGCCACTTGAAACCAATAGCAACATTGAGACGAACGTCATTGAGGGGATATGCAATAAAGTCGCTCTACATTATTATTATTATTGTTCCCTTGGGTTCCTAGTGGAACATAGGGCTTCAACTGCACGTCTCCACTTGCTTCTGTCTTGTGCTGTACTTTTCACTTGCGTCCATGTTATTCCATACTGTTTCGTCTCCTCCTCACACGATCTCCTCCATGTCACCCTTGGACGTCCCACTCGCCGCTTCCCTTTCGGGTTCCACTCGAGGGCTTGACGCGCGATGTCACTCAACGGCCTCCTCAGCGAGTGTCCAATCCATCTCCACTTCCTCCTGCATATTTGTTGGGCGATTGGTTCCTGTTTCGTTTGTTCCCATAGCTTCTTGTTTGTGATTCTTTCTGGCCATCTAATCTTCAGTATGGAGCGAAGACAGTTGTTGATAAAGGTCTGCAACCTGTTGAAAATATTCTTGGTGACTCGCCAAGTTTCTGATCCGTAAAGCAAAATTGACTTCACGTTTGTATTGAAAATCCGAATTTTGTTGTTGATGCTGAGTGACGAAGATTTCCAGATTGGTTTCAGGTTGATGAATGTGTTTCTCGCCTTCCCGATTCTCGATTTGACATCCTCGTCTGTTCCTCCTGTGGTTGAGACAATGCTCCCCAGATAAGTGAAAGAAGTAACCTCTTTCAAATCCCTCCCGTTGATGGTGATTGGCACTGGATGTTGCTGCTGTTGTTGGTTGGTTATTTTCATGACCTCCGTCTTGTCTATGTTCACCTGGAGTCCTGTCTTTGCTGCTTCTTCGACCAGTTTGTCGGTTTTTGCTTGTAAGTCTTCGATTTTGTGTGACATCAAACATAAATCATCCGCAAAATCCAGGTCTTCTAGGTTCTTCACGTCGGTCCAGGATATCCCTGTCTTTTCGTTTCCCACTGTCTGACGCATAATCCAGTCCACCACAATTAGGAATATCATTGGTGATAATAAGCACCCTTGTCTGACTCCTGTGTTTACTCCAAACGCTTCGCTGAGTTTTCCGTTGTGGATCACTTGACATGTGCCGTTGTCGTACAGCTGTTGAATAAGGTTGATGAATATTTGGGGTACGCCGTAGTACTCGAGTAGTTTCCAAATTACTTCGCGGTCAACGCTGTCGAAGGCCTTCTCAAAGTCTATAAAGTTGAGGTAGAGATTTGATTGCCATTCCATGCTTTGTTCGATGATAATGCGTAGAGTTGCAATTTGGTCAGAACATGATTTGCCTTTCCTGAATCCAGCTTGTTCTGGTCGGAGTTCTGTATCCAGCGCGTCCTTGATTCTCTCCAGGATGATGCGACTCAGGATTTTACTTGGCGTCGACAGGAGCATGATTCCTCGCCAGTTCTTGCAGAGTCCCAGGTCGCCCTTCTTTGGTAGTTTCACCAGGTAACCTTTCCTCCAGTCAGTAGGCACCTTTCCCTCTTTCCAGATCTTTTGCAATAATGGAGTCAGCATATCTGCCGTCGTTTCTGGGTCCGCTTTCAGTGCTTCTGGGGGTATTCCATCTGGTCCAGCTGCTTTTCCAGCTTTCAGAAGCTTGATTGCATTCATGACTTCAGTTTTCGTTGGAGGATTGGTGTCAACTTGCAGTTGTGTACGTGCTGTTGTTGGTATTACTGGGCGGGTTGTAGGTGGTGGTCGATTCAAGAGTCCTTTGAAGTGGTCCGCCCATTGTTTAATCTGTCTTTCTTCTTTGGTAATTGGGTTCCCTTGGCTGTCTTTTATAGGTTTCACTTGTGTTGATCTCTTCCCAGATAGAGACTTGGTTATCTGATATAGTGTCCTCAGGTCCCTTTTGCCTGCTGCCTTCTCAGCTTCAGTAGCCAGGTTGTCGTAGAATTGTCTTTTGTCCTTCCTGGCACTCTTCTTCACTTCTTTGTCCAGTGCTGTGTAAGTTGAGTTCAGCGTCTCTTTCTCTTGTCCATCTTTGCATTGAATCATTTTCTCTTTCACCTTTCTCCTCTCCTCTATTAGTTTCCAAGTGTCTGTTGAGAGCCATTCCTTGTCTTGTTTCTTCTTTCTTCCTAAAACCGTTGAGCACGTCTCGTTGAAAATTACCTTCAGAGAGTTCCAATGGTCTTCCACGGATGATTCCTCAGTGGTGCCACGTAGTGTTTCCTGCTTTGCTCTAACAGTTGCAGTGAAAATGTCCTGTGTGATTGTGTCCTTCAGTTTTTGCGTGTTGAACTTGCATTGTGGCCTATCCCCAGCTATCCTCGAGGCTTTCAGCTTCACCTTGAAAGTCCCTTGTACTAGATAGTGGTCTGAACCCACATCTGCACCTCTCCTCGATCTTGTGTCCAGTAGGCTCCGTCTCCACTTCCTTGAGATTGAAATGAAGTCTATCTGGTTTTTGGTGTGTCCATCTGGTGAAATCCATGTTGTCTTGTGTATATCCCTGTGTTTGAACACACTGCCACCAATCACCAAATCATTGAAGGCGCAGAAGTCTGAGAAGAGTTCGCCATTTTCGTTCATTTCACCGAGGGCCTCACGACCCATGGTGAGTTCTCTTCCTGTATTGTCTCCTCCCAGTTTCGCATTCATGTCGCCCATCAGGATTTTGATATCGCTCTTTGGGACGTTGTCCATTACTGTTTGTAGTTGACTGTAGAAATCCTCCTTCTTCTCATGTTCTGAGGCGTTTGTAGGCGCGTAGCACTGAATGATTGTAACCTTTTTTCCTTTTGAGTTGAACCTGGCTGTCATTATCCTGGAGGAGATTGGTTCCCACTGCATGAGAGCTTTAGCCGCTGTTGGTGACATCATGATGGCTACTCCCTCGGTGTGCTCGTGATTGTCCTCTGGGTGACCGGAGTAGATTATTGTCTCTCCAGTTGATAGTTGGCTCCTTCCACATCCGTTCCATCTGCTCTCGCAGATTCCCAACACTTCTATTTTATATCTCCTCATTTCTGCGGCTACCTGAGCAGCCTTCCCAGCTTCGTACATTGTACGAACATTCCACGTCCCCATCCTTATTTTCGCTTTCATCGAAAGAAGGCACATCGGCTGACTGGCTTCCCGAAGGCTTTCACCAGCCCGCGTCATTTCACTTCCCCGATTCCAGCGAAAAATAAGGTCACTATTTGTAGTTTTAGAATTTTGAATATATTTGTGCGTTGAAGTTTTAGTAGCAATTTGGTTAAGTTTTGGGGGTGGAGTTGCTAGCACCACGCCCCAACCCTCCCTCCTTATCCGGGCTTGGGACCGGCTAGAATACTAGTGACCTAGTAATCTAGGCGAGGTTAAAGTCGCTCTACAATGTCCTATTATTTATTCCACAATAGATATCGACCAGCGATAAATTGCGAAGCCCCTTAAGTTTGGCGGAAACTATTTGGCTACTTATTTATATTGTTTGTAAAGTTATTACTTGTAAATGATTATCAAGAAAAATTTTTTATTAAGGTCGCACATGTACTACCCAAGTGAATGATACTTTTCCTAAGCCTTTTCAGACTTATGGAGAAACATACCTTTTGTGTACGCAGATGAAACCTACTGACAGTAACGGAGGAATACTCTTCTGAATTATCTGTACATCTGAAATTTAATTTTTATCTAATAAACGATTTTTCAAAGAATCTGTGTTTCTTCTGCTGCAATGTGATTGTGTTCCAGAAACATTAGTAACACGTGCTGGGGTAGGAATTGAGGGTAAACTGTTAGGAGTGAATGCAACCTCTGGGAAACTTTTGTTTACACGATAAGATGAACAGTTAGCAACATATCGTATTCTGTGGCTGCGGATTGTAGGCATTATGCTTTTAACTATTATAATAACCATAGTTGCACTGGGCTATATGTCTAACAGTATAGGTACAGTCTATCCTCATGATAGATTGCGACAAGTAGAAATCCCAACCACACTATCTCAGGTAGATTTATTTTCACTTTGTGATTATGAATCGCGAATCGGTCTATGTGTTCCACTAAGACGATAGATAACTAGAACTGCTTGATAATCGCAATACCTCCACTGAGATTAGTGCATTTTTATTTTATTTGACTACAACATACTCTTTTTATCAATATACCTCCGAAAATCTGCTCTTACTCAGTATTTCAAAGATAGACTCATAAAGTCTGTACCTCACAACTTAAGCAAGGGCTAATACTGGGCCTTACCAAGTATCATATATAAACGAATAACGAGGAATAAATTTATCAGTGAATTAACATGCAATACAATATCAGTGACACTGCGGAAATCTTCCTAAGCACCCAAATCCATGAAATCTCCAAAAGCAGCCACCACCTGACATCGTCGTGATGAGGTACGTAAAGACATCTAAGGTGTGCGGAATTTTATTATGTGATTGAGTTTGCATTCATAGGCTTTCCGATTTTTGCTATTATCCTGAAGCTACATTATGTTAGTCTGTACAACGGCAATTCACAGGATTATCTAAGAACCATGTAGACGTAGTGTCCGACATTTAGAAGCAGTCGCTATTTCCCCTTAGGGAGGACTGATCGACCTCTGCGAGTCAGGGCCTCAAAAGTAAACAGAATCACCAGAACCTAATAATGGTGAGAACAGGGGACCTAGCTCCACTATTATGAGACATTATAGAGACAGAACATTAAATTGACATTTACACATCTATTTAACCTATCTATAAAACGTGCTTGGGGCGTGTCCTAAAGTTTGTGGAATACAAAACAAGTAGAAAGTTTTAACCACCTTTACGCATTCAAAAGCAATTCGTCATCACATTAAATCTTTCTTGGTAAACTTTAATTTGATACCACGGCAGATGTACTGTTACCTCTCTTATTTGGTTTAGTGATTTTCATTGCTATTTTTACCTTCAGTATGCCCTTTTAACTTGATCAAATTTTTGTCTCACCTCTTTGATAATTTAGTATGTATATTCCTATGACAAGTCCGTGTGTGTGATCCGATTGTTCAAAATGTGTTGCACAAATGTCTTACACGATTCAGACAACCCAAATCTTCTTACGACTTTGTCTAAATATCCACTAGTGTCAAAAATAGTGACTGATGTTATCGCACACTGATACAAAATTCTATTAATTCTTACTGTGTTAACTCGTTAATTGTTTTATCAATAGTTATATTCATGTATACATCCTCTGAACCCCTTTTTTTCTATTTTAGCTACTCGGTAATTTTGGTGATCTCATGGAATTTGTTAGTGAAGAAGGTGGTTTCCAGTGTCACTGATTTTGTATTGTATTTTAAATCACTAATGCATGCATTTCCTGTTTCTCAAACCGGCATGCTAACTGTTGATAGCGAACAATAACTTTGCGACTGTTGTGAGCTACGGAGTTTGGAGAATTAAGGTCATGTGTTATATTGAGTAGTGCATTTAGAAGAGATGTTTGCCTTTGGGTTAAAGTGTCATTAATACGCAGTACATTCTTGTTGTTGTGATAAGTTAGTTAGCGGTAATTATTATCAGTACCTATATTTTTTAAGGATGGTGTATAACGAAGCGTTCTAATGCAGTAGTCAAAGGCTGGATTTATCCGTTAGAATTGAAACACGTGCTAACGTAAGTTAGAAGTGATCCTTTGGAAATCGAAACATCAAATAATTGATAAAGTTGTTACCGTCCTTTACATGTGAACAGTTAAAGTTAAAAATTCAGAAGTAAAACTAGTTGATAGTTTAATGGGTGTTTTGAGTGATAGGAACAAAAGTGGGACAGTATAACTGAATGCATGGATAAGCAACATTAACTGGCCAGTATACACATATTTCGATGTAAAACACAATCGGGCAAAGTATTTCGAGGACAACATTAGAGCAGTCTCCCGAAACTACTAAATTAGTGAGTAACTAAACTTTTCTTTGAATTACGACTGG